AAAAATTATAAAAAATGCCACCTAAGCAAGGTTAACGGCCCAAATTAACAGAAAGACTAACGGAGTGCATTTCGTATAGTTGAGGGATCAAAAAAATGTAAAAAATTGTTAAAGGACCAAAAATGTTCATTTCTTAAAGTTAAGAGACCAAATTAAGCATTTAACCTTTAACAAAATATTACAGAAGCATTTAAAGCACGTTTGACAATCAAAGTGCCAAACGGTAGTATATAGTTCTTTAAAAATAAAAAATAAAAAAGAGTGGTAAACGGTTTTAGTCCACATGCTGATTTGTTGTACTTTTCTCCTACGGTGTACTCCCTCCCTCTGTTTCACTATATTAGACGTTTTAAATATAAATTTTTGTTCTTATTTATTTCTTGTTTTGTATAAATTAAGATTTTTTTAATTTATCTTTTTATTTTTACCTTTTAATAAAAGTTTAATGACTCCAAGTTAATGTCACTCTGAAGAGAAGAAAAAAAAAATTTTTCTCTGCATTCCCCTATTTCGTATACTGTTCTTTTTGGGCTAACGAAATTTCGAAAACTCTTCTAAATGGCTAAACAAGCAAGCAATACCAGCGGATCTTAGATTTGATTTAAACAAACATGCAATACCCACAAGTTTTTGTGGAGGAAAAATTGCAGAAGTAAAAATTTCTTGCTATACTAATTTTGAGCAGTTGCTCTTGCAATACAAAGAAAGGGGATAGATTAGGAAATTGAAAACAAAGGATAGAGGTAGAGAATTTTTCATTATAAGGGGTTCTAGCCTTTGGGTTTGTGGTTTGGCCATTTGGGTAGTTTGTCGAAAGTAAAAAAGAAAAAAACAAAAATACATGTAACTCCGTCAGAAGAAGGTAGAACCAAGCTTTGTATCTAGTCTGGAAATTTTTGTGGTATTAGAATGAAAATAAAGTGAAATTGAATTGGAACGAAGGTTGGAGTTGTAGACAAGTCTTTCCGGCCAACAAACCCACAAATGAAAGAGAAGGTAAAAGAGAAAGTGAAACGACAAATGGTGAGGAAAAGGGTAAAATAGTATTTTTATTTTATTCAACATTAAAGTTAAAGATAATTAATAATTTTCTTAATATTTGTGCAAAAGTCTAAAATGACAAATAAAATGGAGTAGAGGGAGTAAAATGGTATAAAAACTCAAAAAGTGACACTTAAGAGGTGTCTAAATTAATGAATCTTATTTATAAAAATTTTAAGTTAAAAAATTCTAGCATATAGTTTTTTTAAAAAAAATTTTATTTATAAATCTTAATTAGGTTAATATCAATTATATAAAAATTTTGGTGGTAATATTTTTTCATTAAAAATAAATTTAAATTTAAGTTATATCATACGAGTAGATAATGTGAAATGCCCCACCCTATGGTGTACTTCCTTCCCCACCCTACTATTAGGAATCCCCTCCACCACCCATTATTACAAATCCCCACCACCACCGGTACATTACCCTCCACCTCCTTATTACTACAAGTCACCGCCACCGCCAGTACATTCTCCCCCACCACCCTACTACTACAAATCTCCTCCTCCACCGTCGCCATCTCCTCTTCCACCATACTATTACAAATCCCCGCCACCACCTCCCTATTACTACAAGTCTCCCCCACCACCAGCACCTTCTCCTCCACCACCTTACTACTACAAATCGCCACCTCCACCACCATACTACTACAAGTCTCCCCCGCCACCCTACTAGGCTCAAAACTGCTGCTTTCTTGTAAGTAAAGTTTCAAATTAAAGTTTAGCATTACATTATACTGTTTTATTTTTGGTCCAAATTAACATAATACATGCATGTTTGATCCAAACTTGTCAACTATTTCTCATTGGTTGTATTAACTTTCAGGTCTTAGTTTCAACAATGGAATAAAAGAAGGCTCCAAGAAGGGAGTAATTGGGCGTAAAGTTTCTTATAATTCTAGTTCATGGAATAAGGGTCCCAGGAATTCATGTGAGAACTATAATTTAGGTGATCCAGGCCAGATTGCTTCCACTTCTCTGGTGGCCATCTTACACATGCTCTTAATTTATTCTTGTGGGAAATTAGGTGGATCAAGAAGTGAGATCGGAGTTTAGTGGGTGTTGTAGTTCTGTTTGGGTTTTAATTATTCCCATAAATTAATACATTTTCCTCAGTCTTTTTTCTTTTTACAAGGTAATGATTAAAAAAAATTAGTGTGAGTTAATTATTAGTAATTGATCCATAAATCGAGTAAACATTTCACCCCCTCACATGAGGCGTGCGACTATCAGGTCACTTTTTGGTAGAGTTCACACCGGTGATAGAATTTAAAATTTCGACCACCTCACCCAAACACTTAAGAGTTGGAATCAAACTATTCACCATAAGTCCCGGTTCATTTTTCCTCAGCATTTGTTGATGTATAGAATATGTGGCAATGTACCATTTGATCAGCTTCTATTTTTTGTCGGCATGCATTTGCTTCTTGTACCTTCTCGTGCTTTGTGCAGTGAGATTGTTAGCAATAAAACAGTCATTTTCTATATTTTCTCTTGCACTGTGTAGCCGTTACACCTACCAAAAGAAATCTAAGGGGGTAAGGCCACATGTATAAAATACGGCAAAACCTTATTTTAGCCCCTCATCTTGTTAAATTTAAAGGTTTAACCCTTTATTTTATACTATGACATTTTTAACTCCTTAATTTATATTAGGATACTTTTAGTCCCGTACCTATTAATATTGAAGAAAATGACCCTCACTTTATAATATTTTGTCTGTTAGTTAACTGTTAACTCTATTAGCTGACTATTAGTCGACTGTTAACTGTCAAAAACCTTTTTTCAGCTAATAGAGTTAACATAACTAATTTTATAATATTTCATTAATCCTATTAATTGACTTTTAGTTGACTGTTAGTTGATAAAAATTTACTTTCAGCTAACAGAATTAACAGTCAGTCTAAACAGAGGATTATTTTCTTCAATTTTAATACGTAAAGGGCTAAAATCTATAAGGATAAAGATACGTACACCCATCGGTTCAACACCGGTGGGTGCACATATTATAAAATAAGGGTTTTTTCTGTATAAACCAAATAAATGTAAGAATAAAATTACAAATTTAACCTTCCTCCTCTTTTTCTTCCATCATCCTCTAATCACCATTTTTACCCATCATTTCTGATCTTCATCATCCTCCACCTTCATCACCGATCGTTCTTCTTCATCATCAATCACCCATCTCTAATCTTCATCACCTTCATCACCTTCATCACCGATCATTCTTCTTCTTTCCCTCACCTCTTTCTTTCTTCTTCTTTTTTTTTTCTCTCTCTCGGTGGAGAACCCAGGTCGGGTTCCCACCGGAGAACCCAAGCTAGGTTCTCCGGTGAGAACCCGAGTTGGGTTCACCAGAGAACCTGAGCTGGGTTCTTGAGAACCTAGCTTGGGTTCTCATTAGAGAAATTCTGATTTTTTTTTTTTTTGGATGGATGGATTTGGTGAAATGCTTGAGTTTTTCTGGGATTTGGTTGTTGAATGTGCTTGAATGCTTGAATGTTGCTGGGATTTGGTTGTTGAATGTGCTTGAATGCTTGAGTTTTGTTGGGATTTGTTCTGTGGGAAATAGATTTAGTGAGAAGGGTAAATTTATAATTTTACTGTTTAAACCAAGTTGGGTGTAAAAATGAGTGCCGGTTTATGGGTGTACGTATCACTATTCAATCTATAAATCTAGCAAGGTGAGAAGCTAAAAATGTTATAATATACGGTGAGGGATTAAAACCTTCAAACTTGATAAAGTGAGGGCTAAAAGTGAGTTTTTGCCTATAAAATACAAACTGGGATAGAATTGAATATGAAGAAATTGATAGGATGAGATAAGAGGAGATTGGGAAAGGTAATAAAAATCATATTTTACATTTGAAATTTTATTAGATTAGATATAAAATTTATTTCATATTTAATATAAAAATAGACAATGTTAGAAGAGATAATTTACTTAATATATGAATATGGACAAAAATGTTCAGAAGTTTAAAATATTTAAAAAATTTTAAAATTACCAAAATTTGCTTGTATGTAAAATATCTAAAAATATTTGAATAACCACTAAAATTCGTCATATAGACAGAAATGTCCTTGAATATACACAGAAATGTCCTTGAATCGAAAAAAATATGGTGATTTGTCAATTTTTACCAGAAGTGTCAATTCATGAAAATGTCCACCAGCGGGAACAGAAAAAAAAAAAAAAAAGAAAATGCCCACCACACCAAAAGTACACTATTTTTATGATAGATTCATTGTTCCTAAAAATTCGTACGGTTGTGCATTGTGCAAAAGAAGTCATAGTTATCTCTTTATACGATCATTCCTTAACTTTACAAAAAAAAAAAAAAAAAGAATAGAAAAAAGCAGACATCATCCTTCCATTGACCCACGTTTAACGTCGTCCATGTTATCATAACTCCTTTGTCCGATGTGGCAATAATAGGCCCTAGTGTGGCAATAATGGCCTCAATGAGTATTTATGAAAATTAAAAACTGCTTAAAGTGTCAACATCAGAATCATAAGGTACGTGTTGACCACTCTGCTTCCAACATCACCACACAACATTCACTGCCCAAAGTTTAAACACATAGTGTCGACACAACAAATATGGTATGGACACTCAATCCGCGTCTGGTTTTTGGCATCCTTTTGCAATTTCTTAAACTGGTCCCTGTTAAGGAAAATCATACCATCCTCAAATTCTGGATTGCCAGCAGGCACATGCACTCTATGCCTGGCCCTCCTTTGGGCGAGTTCAGCATCTTCTTCTTCATCGGATGAAACATAACAAACCTCATCGTTTGAGCTTATTGCACCATCATTTATTAGGCCCAATAGGAACACCTTCAGTACGACCTTCTCCTTCATTGATTTTAGTTTGCTCTTGAAATTTCTTGATCCTTCTTCTAGCTTCCTCGTGTTCTTCATCTTCAATTGGACTTGGCTAAGGGCAATCTAAAATATCTTCATTGTTTTCTACATCTGCTTCATTAATGTCTCTTTCACATTGATCACCAACCACTTCTTCAATTTCAGCATCATCAACAGCACTTGGTATTCCTTTCTTACCAAAAAAAGAAAAAAAAGAAGAAAAAAGCACTTGGTACATATGTGTTTGTATATGTGAAAATTGTGCATGCGGGTTCAATACAAGATTAACATTCAACCTAAAATCAATTGATAAACGTAACTTAACACGCCCCCTTATATGTAGGCTCAAAATCAACTTTTTGTTCTGTCAGGTGGGTTAACAATGAACTTTTCAGGACCATGTAAAAATTATGCATGTGAGCTCAGTATAAGGCTTGCATCCAACTTAAAATTAATTGACAATAAGTGGAGTGACCTTTTTTGTATTTAACTCATAAACTTTTTATTTTTATACTCGATGTGGGATGTTCCCACTTAATACGTGGCCTAGGCGTCCTGTCAGGTGAGCGGGCTAACAACGGACTTCCCAAGACAGAATCTGAGCTCTGATACCATGTGAAACTTGTGCATGTGAATTTAACACAAAATTTGCATCAAACCTAAAACCAATTGGCAATAGATAGAATGATTTTCTTTATTTTAACTCACAAGTTTCTTACTTTTATACTCGATGTGAGATTTTCTCACTCAACATGCCTCCTCACGTGCAGATCCATTATGAATGTTGAGCCCTGTCATATGACTTAACATGCCCCCTTTACATTCAAATCCAAAATCAATTTCAAATCCCGTCAGTTGAGCTAACAATGGACTTTTCATAACAAAATGAGTTCTAATACTATAATAGAAAAAATAAAGAAAAGAAAAATATAAAAATATATGAAAAAATAAACTCATTCTTTCTTAATTTTAACTTAATTATATCAATCAATTATAATGTGAACTCAATTAATATAATTATAATATAAATATTTTGTAATAGTATACATTCCACTTGGTCCAGGCCTTTCTTGTGTAATTAAGGCGATCACCCACCCCTAACAAAATTTACCTCCTCACTTGATATGGAACAAGCAATACTTACAGTCACCAATCATTCAATCTCATTGTGAAAAAAAAAAAAAAAACAGAAAGCAACCATGAGCCACTGCATGTGGGTTGTCAAAATCTAATTAAAGCAAACAATAAAAAATCGTTTTGCACATGTACGGGCCACTGCATGTGCGTTGTCAAAATCTAATTAAAGCAAACAATAAAAAATCATTTTACACATGTACCTGAAACCTCAAAAAGTAGCATGGTGACATGGATCCACCGTTTTCTCAATCGGAAACTTTTTTTTT